CTTGGTACTAACCCCATTGCACTGCCCTGGCCAGGTCAGCATCAGCCCCTCCTGGACCACAGCACCCGTCTCCTCTCTGCTTCTGGTTCCCACCCGCCCCCATACTGGCTCTGGATTTCCTTCCAAACAGAAATCTGATTACCCCCGTCACTCAGATGTGACTGAAGACATTCCCATTGGAAACACTTCGTGAATGTCACACAAAAGCTACTGAGTAGAAGGCAATTTAGAGGTGGCCTAGGTGGGTTGGCTGTCCATGGCTTCCTAGAGGAGGCCACACTTTGAAGCCTGAAACCAGAGGGAGGAAGATTGGCAGAAGTGGGGGAAACGGGTGTATGGAGGTTCAGAGGCAGAGGCTAAGTGAAGCTGGAGTATTTTAGGCTGTCAAAATGTCCTGGGTGAGCAGAGTATGATTTGGAGGGGGCAGGAGGTCCTGACCAAAGCACTATTCTGACATCCCAGAATAGAAGACAAAATAGGAGAAATCCCCATCTCTTGGGGTGAGGGTCAACCTCCAGAAGCAACCACTTCCCCTTCTGTCAGAGACCCTGGTTATCTGAAGAGCCACCTCTGCTGTGCTCAGCCCATCCCAATCTCAGATGATGGGTGTCTGAGCCAGTGTTTACCAGTCAGCATAATCTATCCCTTGTGATCACAAATGTTGGTTCAGGGTTAGTGTTCTGTTTCAACCCCAACTAATGTACTGAGGTTCAGTTCTGGCACTAAGTGCCCAGAGTTAATTCAGACTCCGCAAATTAAGGGCTCGGTCCTCCCCAGACTGCCCCCATTTCAGATGTGAGCTGCAAGTGGAGTCCCCCAGTCATCTTCACTTCTGACCAACTTGCTACAGATCTGGAGTTTCCCATGACCCCCTCCCCCTCAGGTATGATAATTTGCTAGAACAACTCACAGAATGCAGGAAAACACTATACTTAAGATCACAGTTTTAGAGTAGAGAATACAAGTCAGGAACAGCCAAATGAAGAAAGACATAGAGTGGGGTCTGAGAGACCTGGTTTCATTTCTTAGGCACAATTGATTAAATCATTGCCACGTGACTGAACTCAAGTCTCTAGGTCCCCTTCCCCTCCCTGGAGATCCAGCTGCCTCAAAACCCCAACCCTGTGGGACACCTGACTGGCTCAGTCAGAACAGGTGACTTTTGATCTCAGGGGTTGTGAGTTCAAGCCCCACAATAGGTGTAGAGATTACTTTTATACATACATACGTACATACATACATAAATCTATCTTAAAAAATCCCCACCCTCTAATCACCAGGATAGTCTTTCTGGTAACCAACCCTTATCCTGAAGCTAATCTAGGAGCTTACCATTAGTTACCTCATTAGCTAAAACTTGGGTGTGATCTAAGGTGCACTTCTGTTACTTGGTAAATTCCAGGTACTTGTAAAGTTATGTGCCAGGAAGCTGGGACAAAAACCAAATTCTTCATTATACCTGGTGACCCAGGCGGAGCTGATGAGACTCAATCCTGTTGCATTTGCTGGAGCCATTGAGAAAGCTATGATCTTTTTCCACTATGAATGTTAAGCTAGTAGGATGTATGCTTGGAGCTGCTGGTTGCCATTTTGCTACCTACGAGGGGACAATCTGCCTAAGAATTAAGACAGTCCAGAGGAAAGCAGAGCTAAGAGACTGAGACCAAGTTCAAATGGACATTATTTGAGCCTCTGGCTTCAGCCACACCTGAAGTCATTCTACCTCGGATTTTTCAATTCTGTGAGCCTCTTTTCATGTTTAAGCTACCTTAAAGTGGGAGTGGATGGGGGGTTCCATTACTGGTAGCTAAAAGCATCCTATCACATACCCTGTTCCTGAGGAACACGTGGTTCTCCCTTTTACATTAATAAATAAAAAGTCTTATTGGCTTAATGTGGGCCCTGGGTCCTACCATTCCCACCTTCCCCAAACCTCTCTCCTCCAATGACTATCCTCTCTACTGGCTCCTTTCCTTTTAGACTGTCCACATGATCAGGTCTCCCTCAGGACAGCTCTCCATACTCCTCCTCCCCCCGTTTCTTCATCTTCCATTCATTCCTCAGCCCACTACCATTTGGCTTCTGCTTCTACCACTTCCTTAAAATTACCAAAGTCCTGAAACAGTGTTAGTTGATGAGAGATAGAAGCAGAAAAATATTCACCTTTAGCCCGGAAAGCTGACCTAAAGCCTGAATAGCTCCGATAAGGATCAAATACGTGCTGGCTGCTACATTCTAAAGAGTCTCATGACTGTCTGTACGTGTCACCGATAGTTAATATCCAACTGAACGATAAGCACCAGAGAAATCTTGCGAAAGTAGTTTTACAAGTAGAAATTCGAAGAAAACATTTACGATATAATACTCCCTGCACATCCCCTCCCCCTTTGAACACTAAGCATATAACCACCCGCTTCATACAGCAAAGGTGCCACTCTTTCTGCCCACGTGTCTTGTCCCCATGCTACAATAAAAACACCTTTTTGCACCAAAAACATCTCAAGAATTCTTTTTTGAATGTCCACTCACAGCCCCGTATCATTTAGTCATGGATGTTTTCTGGAGACAATGGCAGTGCCCTGGATCCTTTTTTAATCATTTGCCTGTGATGTGTCTGACCAAGTGCCCCTACACATGCACACATTCTATGCTCCTACCCCCACCCCCGGTCTTTGTTGTATGGTTCCTCTTCCAACAGTTAGAACGTCCAGATTTTTTTTCTGTTTTGGAGGAATGCCCCCAGGCTACTGGAGGCTTTGCCTTGATGATGAATCGACGCCTCTGAGACTGTCGCTTGGTCAACAGCTGAGGCATGTCGGTATATGAAAGGCCCCATCCCCTTGTTTCTGGACAAATCTGACACGTAACTTTCATCCAGAGCTCCCCTGCAGGATCAAGTTGAACTACTCTTTGCCTGAGATCACACGTTTGTTTGGTTTCCTCTCCTTCCTTCTCCTGCTTCTCTCACTCTCTTACTGGTTTCTTCTGGTAGCACTGTTTGACGAAATCACTTGCACACAAATCCTCAGCTCAAGGTCTGCTTCTGAGAAACCTGACCCAAGACACCATCTCAGCACTTTCTGCTCCGCTTTTGCTGCCTACCTGATAAATGTGGCTTGTTTTCCAGAATTAGGTCCTGGGCCCTATTCTCTCTACAGATATTGTTTGGACAATTTCACTCATGTCCATGGCTTCAACCACTACTCACTTCTGATCATCCCCAAACTCCTTTACGCAGCTAGACTGTAGCTCCCTCTCTGCTGGACAGCTCCACCTAGCTGTCCACAGGCACCCCCTGTGCTAATGCCCTAGTCACTAGCCACGTGGCTATTTTAATTAATTAAATTCCGTTCCCTAGTCCCACCAGCCACATTTCAAGTGCTCAAGAGCTACCTATGGCTAGTGGCTACCACACTGGATAGTGTTGATATAGGACATATGTCATGGCAGAAAATTTTATTGGACAGCTTAGACACATTTCGAAACCTAACTCACCATCACCAGACCCTTGCCTTTCTATATTCCTCAACTGTGTCTCTCTCCTAGAAACAGTGGGCAGAAACTACAGAAACTAGAAACTACAGAGAAAGGGTGCATAAGGGCTTCAGGGGAGAGGGAGGGGACCACAGAACGAGAGTCTTTTCCACTGATATCTTCCTCTGAACTGGGAAGATGGATGGGCAAAGATGGTGATGAAGACCTTGACAAAGGCCATCTGTGAGCTGATCTTAGATTGGTTAGAACAGGAGGTGAGCTGGGGGACGAGGCCTGGCTAGGCCAGAACTTGCCCTCCACAATGAAGTTTTCCAACTCCACTCAGCCTCAGCCTTGAATAAACGTTCTTGTGTGAATTAGGGCCTTTATCCATCTCCAGTCTCTTGTGTTCCAGGATGAGTATCTGATCGAAGCCAATCAGCTGGGGGGGAGGGGGGGTCCAGTTCTGGAAATTTTATGGCAAATCTCAGAAAAGAAGCAGGTTCCTTCTACTTGAGTTGTTAAGCTATTAGGACTTCAGTTTGCAGCCATGTAAAGCCATTTTGCCACTGAGATAGGCCTACCTGTGAGTGAAGCCAAAGGCATGGGGAAAGCAGAGGCTAGAGAAGGTGAACCACAGGTTCCTCACAGCTTTTGGCTTTTTTTTTTTTTTTTCAGCTGTTCCTGAAGAAGCTCAATCCGTTTTTTTCAATTGCTTCAGCCAAGATTCCCCTATTCCTTAGGCCAGTTGGAGCTGGATCAGTGACAGACCTTACTCTTGCATACCTTGGCTTCTTCTCGTTGGTTTGGAATTGTCCCCGCTTATGATTTCAACGACTCTCTATACCTTAACGATTCCCAATGTCTGTATCTGGCCTTGATGTGTTTACTGAGCTCCAGACCGTATGTCCACCTGCCCCCTGACGTCCCACAGGCACGCCCAAAGTGATCTCCTTATTTCTGCCCTCTATCTTTATTTCCCGTCTCAGATGAAACCTACTAGACCTCCAGTCCCTTTGCTCAGCGAAGCCAAGGTCGTAAGTTCAGGCTCCGCCTCTTCGCGGGGCCTCAACCAAGGTCACCCGCGTCTTCCCTCGCTGGGCTCGTTGGGGGCGGTGTCCGCGAACCCCTCAGCCGCAGGGCCAGGCGCTCTAGGCAGCGGCGGGCCCTGCGGAGAGCCACCTCATCTCGCTGGCTTCCGGTACCCGGCGGCTACTCTAGCCTACAGCAGGGCCTCGGAACTCTATGCCCTAAGCTGGCTTCTCTACGGCTGACACCTCTCCTTTGTGCCGAGTTTCCTCCGGGAGGGCACCTGGTGGGAACCCCTTCCCACAGTGGCTTTTGCGGTCCCTTCTAGGTGCAACCGGAGAAGCCCCTGAACCTCCAGAGAATCCCCACCTCTCAGGCCTCGAAGGGTTTGCGCGGAATAGGAGGATGGCGGAAGTAAGTGTTTAGGTGCCCTTCCCTTTCGCCGCTCTTCTCTATGGTCGCTTCCTTCGGTGACGGGAAAGGGGGTCCCGGCGCCTGCGCAGAGGCGGCCGGGGAGCTAGTCGCGGAGTGCGGGGGGAGGGGCAGGGAGCGGGAGCTGCCGCCGCCGCCGGAGCAAACCGCGGGGACCGAGATGCAGGTGGGACCGGAACCGGAACCCCCCTCTTCAAGTACCTCTTCCCTCTCCGCGACCCGGCCCCGGCGCCTGAGAGGAGCCCTGGGTGGGGGCGGGCGTAGGGGGGCCAGAGGCGGGGGCGGTGCTCGGCTCCGCAGAGTGCTGCGGACCGGGCTGGTCCCGAGGCGGCTGCGGCCCCGGGGAATGGGTGGGTCGAGGGTGTCCAGGGAGTAGGAGCGGGTCGGAGTGCACTGACCACCGGGCCCAGAGGGTCCGAGCCGGGAGCGGAGCCTGCACCCTCCACCACCCGCGCTTCGGGAAATTTCAGAACTGAGCCAAGAGGCAGGTGCACCGGGAAAATGTGTCTGAGTCCTGCTTGGCAGAAGAGAAACTGAGTCACCAGCTCAGGAGCCGCAGGGTCAGCGGGCCTGAAGGGGGCTGGGTCTGCCTGTGGTGCAGAGGGTTGGGTGGGCCTGTGTGAGCTGAGGTGGCCTCTGCCTGGAGATTGGTCTCCCTGCTGTGTCTGCACTTCTTGGCTCGGTTCCCCTGTGCTCCATGACTCTTGCATCTCTTGGCTTCTTCTCATTGGTTTGGAATTGTCCCTGCGGTTGGAGTCATCTGAATGTGTAGGGTCTAGGCCAAGGAGGAAGGGGAGGGGTCGCTGATTGTCGGTCTGAGCAGGAGTCTGAGGTTTGGGGAGACTTTCTTGAGCTTCCCACACACACACCCCCCCCCCCCAGTCCTGGTGCCGGTCATCTTCCAGCATAATATGGGGGAGGAACACTAACAAAGAGCCATGGGTTATAAATGCCATGCCCAGCCCTGCCACTTGCTAGTTGTAAGATCTTGGGAGCCCTCTTGTTTTTTCATTTCTCTTTTAGAAGAATTGGAACCCATAAAGATAGTCATGGCGGCGGTTTATTGTGTGCTTACTTTGTGTCGAGCCCTGACATGTTCCATTTAATTCTCCCAACGATTCTATGGGTTAGGGATCATTAGCTCTGCCTTATAGCTATAAATCTGCATTTCAGAGAGGACATATAATTTGTTCCAGATCACCCAGCTAGTAGGTGGCAGAGCTGGGATTTCATCCCGAGTCCGACTCCGGATCCCATAGCCTTAACCACCAGGCTAACCAGCCTTTAGGGCACACTCCCCAGTGAAAGAAGAGGAAGTGAAAAAGCCTAGGGCCCCAGCTCCCTGTTATGTTTTATTTACTTTGTGGCCAACAGAGACTTGCTCTGACCCAACCCACAGTCTTTCCCCGCCTGGTGCTGCTGCCTCTGGGCCCCAGGCTGAAGGCACCAAAGAAGCGGGCTGTGACCGTTCCGAGCCTCGGTCACACCGTGCCGGGGTGCTGGGCCCTGGGGTCCGCCTTCAGGACAAGTGCGGTTTCAATCCATCATCCATCCATCCTCCTTCCTGAGCAGCCTCCCTCCTCAGAGCTGGACCTCAGGATCCCCTGAGACAGGGTCTGTAAGTGCTACAGACCTAGCTCCCCTGAGAGCTGGGGCAGTGAGGGGCCGTGAGGGGCCGTGCCTGAGGCCGGGGCAGTCAGTCCCTGGGGACGAGCACTATGCAGTGGGCAAAACCGTAGGCTTGGAGTTCTGAAACTTTTGTGAGCTTCGGGTTCCTCATCTGTTGTCAAGGTTATTAAAGCCTGTTGCAGGGAAAGGTAAGAACAGCACATGGGAAGCATGTGATAAATCTTGAAGGACCTGTTTTAGAGAAGGGAGGTGGCGTGAGTGATAAAGATTCCTTTTTAGAGGAAGGTGCTCCACGGCCGTCTGTCACTCCTGGAACCCGAGCCAGGGGGAGTGGGGTTGGGAAGACAGCAGGGAAGGTGCGGGGCTGGACCCCGGGGAGCCAGCTGACTGCGGCGTGTGCGTGTGCGGTGTGAGGATCTGGGAAGGGGGGGGGTCGGTGTGGTGTTCCCCATGGCTCTCCAAGGAGTCCTGACCAGAGTGGGGAGTCCGGCTGGGGGCGGGGCTCGGCCCCCAGTCCCCCCTCAGCAGTGACTCGGTGTATGTGCCTCTCTTCCTTCTGCAGCTGCTGCCGCTCACCCCGTGTCTTCTGGCCGCTTCCCTCTTTGCTGCCCCTCCCCACAGGCTCCCCCTCTCCGCCTCCTGGGGACCGTCATGAATGGTGCCCCTTCCCCGGAGGATGGGGCCTCCCCCTCTCCTCCGCCTTTGCCACCACCCCCTCCTCCTAGTTGGCGGGAGTTCTGCGAGTCCCATGCCCGGGCTGCTGCCCTGGATTTTGCCCGCCGTTTTCGCCTCTACCTGGCCTCCCACCCCCAGTACGCAGGGCCCGGGGCTGAGGCTGCCTTCTCCCGCCGTTTTGCTGAACTCTTCCTGCAGCACTTTGAAGCTGAGGTGGCCCGGGCCTCCGGCTCCCTCTCGCCACCCATCCTGGCTCCCCTGAGTCCTGCTGCGGAGATCCAGCCACATGACCTGTCCCTTGAGAGCTGCAGGGTGGGCGGGCCCCTGGCTGTGCTGGGCCCTTCTCGATCATCTGAGGACCTGGCCGGCCCCCTCCCTTCCTCAGTCTCTTCCTCTTCTACGACCTCCTCGAAGCCGAAGCTAAAGAAACGCTTCTCCCTCCGCTCAGTGGGTCGCTCTGTCCGCGGTTCAGTCCGTGGCATCTTGCAGTGGCGGGGGACGGTTGACCCTCCCTCCCCGGCCGGGCCCCTCGAGACCTCATCAGGCCCCCCAGTCCTGGGTGGAAACAGCAACTCCAACTCCTCTGGTGGGGCCGGGACCATTGGCAGGGGACCGGTTAGTGATGGAACATCCCCTGGGGACCGATGGACTCACCGATTTGAGAGGCTGAGACTCAGTCGGGGAGGGGGGGCCTTGAAGGATGGAGCAGGGATGGTGCAGAGGGAAGAGCTGCTGAGTTTCATGGGGGCTGAAGAGGCAGCCCCTGACCCAGCTGGAGTGGGCCGGGGAGGAGGAGGGGCAGCTGGGCCTACCTCAGGGGGAGGAGGGCAGCCTCAGTGGCAGAAGTGTCGCTTGCTGCTCCGAAGCGAAGGAGAAGGCGGAGGAGGAAGTCGTCTGGAGTTCTTTGTACCGCCCAAGGTGAGGCCCCAAGGAGGGCGGGTGACTGGGAGCAGACCATTGAGCCACCAGAGTGGAACAGCCCAGGTGCTTAGCTTTGCTCGCTTGGGTTTGGTTCGGTTTAGTTTTGTTTTACTGCTCACTTTGGTTTTTAAAGCTAGCTCTTGACGCTGGGGTAGTAGCTGTGGGCAGGACTGGAAAAGTAGTGCTAGGACCCTTTGTCTAACTCCCTTAGAACAGAGAAGGAAAGATGACAGATCTCTGGAGGGAAGTGAGAGGTGGTCCCCGCACACCAACAGTTTGGAACTTGTTCTCTTTCCCTGCCCAGGCGTCTCGGCCTCGCCTCAGCATTCCCTGCTCTACCATCACGGACGTGCGGACAACCACAGCCCTGGAGATGCCTGACCGGGAGAACACGTTTGTGGTTAAGGTAGGAGCTCTGGGCTTCCGCCCTCGTGGAGCGCTTGTGCTGGGGAGCAAGCTTGCGGAGCAGGTTGAAGCCAGGGCCTTCGTGGAAAGAGGTGCCTGTGTGTCCAGGGCCTGGAGAGCGTGTCCCTTGGGGCTGTAGCTTCCCCGGGAGGAGGGAAGAGAGGGAGGATGTTCTCGTTCTCCTTAGGGTTGGCTTATGGCCCCCGGACCTGGAAGTGGCCTGTGGGCCTCCTCTTGTCCCCGTAGGTGGAAGGCCCCTCGGAGTACATCCTGGAGACAGCCGATGCTCTGCATGTGAAGGCCTGGGTGTCTGACATCCAAGAGTGCCTGAGCCCGGGGTGAGGAGCCTGCCTGCTGTCACCGAGGGACCCAGGTGGGGCGGGGGAGCAGCCTGGGGCCTTTCACCCGCTGGGTTTCCTCACAGCACCGTGTCCCCTGTCTCTGTCTCCGCAGACCCTGCCCTGCCACCAGTCCCCGCCCCATGACCCTCCCCCTGGCCCCTGGGACCTCATTCCTTACAAGGGAGAACACAGACAGTCTGGAGCTGCCCTGCCTCAATCATTCAGAGAGTCTGCCCAGCCAGGATCTGCTGCTGGGAGCCAGCGAGAGCAACGACCGCCTGTCACAGGGTAAGGGCGGAACTTCAGAGGGCTGCGGACCAGGCCTGGGCCCCTCTCTCCCAACTCGACCGTGCACCCCATTCCTGCCCCTCAGCTGCCCACCCCTTCCCACCAAATGTCTCACTTGTCCCAGGACGTGCCACGCCACAGACGGCCACTCAGAACCATCCCCATCCCCGCTTTGCATGAGCCCCATGCCAGCTCCCTTCCAGCCTTCTGTGCCTGGCCTTTCCTCCTTTTCCATAAGCCTCATGCAGACCTCCGCTCTGGCTGGAGACAACAGCTCTCTTCCCCAAGCTTCTGGAGCACTTCGTTCACATATTTGTTTTGCTCTTACTCTGCATCTCTGTACGTATGTCGTTGCTATCAGATCTGGACTCTATTTCTTGGCCTGACATACACAGGCCCAGCCATACACGCCCAGAGACGTGCGTCCAGCTGGCCCAGCTCACCTTTCCAGATGCCACTCTCCCCTTTGTCCTGCTCCTCCGTTCTGGTTTAGGTTTCGTGGTGCCAGGCACCCTGGCTGTGCTCACTGAGTAAACAAATGGACTGAAGAATCTTGGAGCTGGGATGGACCTCACAAGTCCCCTCATTTCCATTCCCCTCAGGCAGCTAAGACCAGGGAGGGGGAAATGGCTTTTTGGAGGGCACCTGAGAGGCCCTGACAAAGACTGGGGCTGTGCCAGTCTGCCCCCTGCCCCCCTGCTCTCCGGACCCCACACACAGCTACAGCATTCCCGTAGGCTTGGGCCTGTCTGAGTACATACCTGACCGTGTGCTAGGCTCTGGGGCAGGATGGGAAACCTGGAGATGCCTGAGATGCGCTTCCTGTCCTCTCTTTGGGCTCCCAGTCTAGCTCAGTTGACAAGCTATCACTCCCTCTGGAAAGCAGGACTCCGAAGTGGAGAGCCTGGGCTTAGTGTCCTCTGAGCAGCACAAGCGGGAAGCGCCTTGGGAGCTCAGAGGAGGCAGAGAATCGGGGAAGGTGGAATAGACAGCATACCACACAGGGGAGGTGAGAGTAAAGAACAGGGCTTGGAGGAAGGAAGCAGATGGCCAGAGCACAGCCGCGAGGGTAGGGAGAGCCCTAGAGCTTTGGGAGAATGAGACAGGATGATCAGGCTCCCGCAGAGGCTCCGGGAATGCAAACTAACATGAAAGGGTGGTTGGGTTGGGCCAATTAATGGAAGGAGGATCTTTGATGCCTCTGAGAGTTGGGGACTTGGTCCTGTAGGCCAAAAAAGGATGCTTTTTAATGCGAGAATACTTGAGGGATTCTCTCCTGTAACAGTCGCTGTCATTTCAGCTGTTGATTCAGGAAAAACGGGCAGGTTTGGATCCTAGGACGTCCTTGCAGTAATGCTGCGGCCCCTTAGCAGTGCCTGGAGCCTCAGGAGTTGGTCAGACTGACGGGCCAGTGCCCGAGGAAGGGGCGGGCACCTCAGCCCAATGACCGCCAGCACACACAGGGTAGTTTCTCCAGTTCTCAACTCCACCCTCCTCCCTTTTTTTCCAGGGGCCTATGGGGGCCTTTCAGACCGCCCCTCGGCGTCCATCTCCCCCAGTTCCGCCTCCATTGCTGCTTCCCATTTTGACTCAATGGAACTGCTTCCCCCAGAGTTGCCCCCCCGCATCCCCATCGAAGAGGGGCCCCCAGCGGGCACAGTTCATCCACTCGCAGCCCCCTACCCACCCCTGGACACTCCAGAAGCGGCCACAGGTACCAGAGGTGAGAGCGTGTGTCTGCCTCCGGGCCTGGTTGCCCACCTTCCCGAAACTCTTGTCTCGGGATCCTGAGGGATCGGACGGGGGTGGCGGGTGGGGGCGGGGAGCGGCAGGTGGAGGGAAAGCAAGGCTTCTCTTCTCCCAGGATGGGGGAGGCTTCCCTGACACCCCGGTTTCCCTCCCTCTCTCCTTCCTGAAGGATCATTCCTGTTCCAGGGGGAGTCAGAGGGAGGTGAAGGGGACCAGCCCCTCTCAGGGTACCCTTGGTTCCACGGGATGCTCTCTCGACTCAAGGCTGCGCAGCTAGTGCTAGCCGGAGGCACCGGCTCCCACGGTGTTTTCCTGGTACGGCAGAGTGAGACGAGGCGGGGTGAATACGTGCTCACTTTCAACTTCCAGGGCAAGGCCAAGGTGAGGGAGGAAAAGGCTGTGTTCCCTGTGGGGAGCTTGCTGGGGCCGGGGGCGGGGGGGGGCGGTTGGGGCGGGGAACGGGGCCATCCAGGGGAGCTGGGGAGGAGGCTTCTGGAGCGGGCAGGGGCGTGGGCTCCTGCCTCACCTTGCCTGCCCTGCCCTCAGCACCTGCGCCTGTCGCTGAACGAGGAGGGTCAGTGCCGGGTCCAGCACTTGTGGTTCCAGTCCATTTTCGATATGCTCGAGCATTTCCGGGTGCACCCCATCCCTCTGGAGTCTGGAGGCTCCAGTGACGTTGTTCTTGTCAGCTATGTCGTGTCCTCCCAGCGACAGCAGGGTGAGCAGAGCAGGTCTGCAGGGGAGGAGGTGCCCGTGCACCCAAGAAGTGAGGAGGTGTGTGTGCCAGAAAGACGGGGCGGGGGGGCTGTGAGGAGGAGCAGCTTCGTGAGGGAGAGTAGGGTAGCGAAGGTCCTTGGGTGTGGGGCTTTGGAAGGGGGAGCAGGACACTGAGGACGTAGGGAGGCAGCGGGCTCCGTGTCGGAGCCGGGAGGAAGCGGAAGTCGGGTTGGTGCATTCCCATTCCATCAGACCCCCGTGTTCCATCACCTGTGTGTCTCCTGGATCCATCCTCCTCGGCCTTGTCTTTGCCTCTTGTCGGTCTTGCCTTGGGCCTGTTCTTCTTGGGGATGCTTGGTCTGATCCCCCACCCCCCTCCTCCCTTGACGTCTGATGTCCCTGTCTGATCTCTCCTTTTCCCCACCCCGACGTCCCATCTGTCCCCACGTTGCCCCTCCCCCCCCCAGGCCGGGAGCAGGCCGGGAGCCATGCAGGGGTGTGCGAGGGAGATCGATGCTACCCCGATGCCTCCTCCACCCTCATGCCCTTCGGAGCGAGTGACTGTGTGTAAGTGTGGTCCCCCTCTCACCGCCGCCCATGATCCATCTTCCATGGCCGGGGCGGGGGGGGGGGTTGCTCAGGAGATGGGGTGTGGGGGAGATAGCACATGGCTCCTGGGGGGACGAGTGCAGGGGAGGGCCCCGCCAGAGCTGGCCTCCCTCCACAGTCTGTCTTCTTACCATTCCTATCCAGAACCGAACACCTCCCATGACCCACCCCAGCCCCCTGAGCCCCCTTCATGGACAGATCCCCCACATCCTGGGGCAGAAGAGGCGACGGGGGCGCCAGAAGTGGCGGCAGCAGCAGCCACAGCAGCCAAAGAGAGGCAAGAGAAAGAGAAAGCGGGCTTTGGAGGGGTCCAGGAAGAGCTTGTCCCCATGGTTGAGCTGGTCCCCATGGTTGAATTGGAAGAGGCGGTAGCCCCAGGCGCGGAGGCCCAGGGAGGCGCCGGATCTGGTGGGGCCGGTGGGGCTGCGGGGGCCACCGCGATGGTGCAGCTCCAGCAGTTACCACTAGGGGGCGATGGAGAAGAAGGGGGCCATCCCAGAGCCATTAATAACCAGTACTCTTTCGTGTGAGACACCCTACCCCGCGCTTTCTCCACTCTTCTTGCTCCCCAGCCCTTAGTTGGTGAGATTGGGGCTGGGCAGGGACGGAGAGGAGCGGTAGGAATCCCCGCCCCACGTGCTTCCTGACCCTTGACGGCCAAGGGCATCTGTGTTGGTACAAGAAGAGGCTCAAGAACCCTGTTAACTCCCCAGTTCATACACTACAGGTGCCCCATCCCCTGGGCAGGGGATTTGGGCTCCATTACCTCCCTGAGGGGCTGTTATGGTCAGCCCCACCCCTGGGGGCCATTTCCACATTAACCGCCCCCCAGCCCGGGGAGGGGTGAGGGGGAAGGGCTGTCAGTTATATTAAGGTTGTTGTTGTTGTTGTTTTAAACAAAATGGAGAAGCATAAATAAATAAAAGGGTTTATTTCAGTTCCATCACGATGGCTGTGGCCAGTGTTTGCAGTGGGGGCTGGGACAGGCGGGTCAGGAAGGCAGCCCACTCAGTGGTGCCCACTCCGGAGCTGAGAGGCCGGAAGGCTGGGTCAGGTCAAGTGCCCCTGCCCTCCAGCCCCGTGCTTTCGGGCCCATCGCTCCCCTGTGGGCTGTGCCATTGGCTGAGCCAAACAGTGCTTCCCAGGGTCCCCAGCCGAGTTCTCTTAATGGGACAGGACAGTGAGCAGCAGGATCGGCAACCTCTGAGGACCCTTCCTGCTCCGAATCCTTGAGTGAAGGCTTCCCACCCTAGGGAGAAAGCAGGCAGAGACCGCTGGGCCGGGGCTGGGGCACGGTGGCTGTGTTGGGAGAGATGTAATGTGGCAGCCACAGAGCCTGGCTGCAGAGGGGCCCGAGGGCAGCCTGGCTTGCCCCCCTTCCCGGGGCCAAGCTGGGAAGCTGGAGGGTAGATACAGAAGAACACTGGCTTTCATTCCTGGCTTTTCCTCTCCTTTGCTGTTTGGCCTGGGCAAGGTGTTAGCCTCTCTAGGCCTCAGTGTCCTCATCTGTCAAGTGGGAAGTTTTATCTGGGTTGGTGCTGCGGACACGATCTGCTTGGCCTGGATAGCGTTTCCATTAGGATTTCCCACAGAACTTCAGATTACCGGCTTCTCCTGAAAATCCGAAGATCCAGCCTCCCGTGCTCTGCCTTCCACCTTCCACCTTCCACATCTGCTCCATCCCCACTGGCCCACTGAGGTCACGTGACCTCAGCCCCATGGGGATGAGCTTGCAACATCCCCCACCCCCTTGCAGCACCCCATCCAGCCCAGGCTCTGCTCTCTGAACTGAACTGCAGCCGTGCCCTCCAGTGGAGGGCACCCTTGGGTTTCTCAGCTCTGCAAGTGGTGGGTGCCCACAAGGAGGGGCCAGGTTCTGAAAAATCCCACCTGTTTTGCTTGGCCTGCTCCCTTCCTCACCACCCAGTGCTGCCCCTCTCCTTCCTTCCCAGGCAGCATGGGGCCTATATTCTCGCACCCCTCAGCCACTTTCCCCACCTCCAGGAGGCCCTAGCCATACTTATGACCTTGCTATTCTGGGCCTTGCGTCCTGTTGTGAGATGGACAGGAGACAGCTGGACTCACAGGCCACCCAGGCTGGGGGCTAGCCGGGGGAAGCCTGCTGGCTCTCCCAGTTTTGTATAATCCCTGGGGCTCCCCCAAACCTTGACCTCAGGAGACTGGGGATAGAACTGGCCTTGCAAAGGAGGGGATGGTTTGGGGAGCTGGACGCTGTGTTCTGGAAAAGGAGGTGGTGAGTGAAGGCTCTGACGCCCCAGGGTAAGCAGGACCTGATCCCCTCCTAATCTAGCAGCAGCTGGTGCTGCAAGGCTCCCCTTCCCCCGAAACCCTGCCAGCCTCAGGGACTTGCCTCCTGAAGAGGGGTGGTGGAAGGGGCCAAGGAGCATCCCCCCACCTCCACCCCAAGATGTGCATGCCTTGGCTGGAGGAGCCTAAGAGACTGTTTCCCTCTAAGCCTCCCTTTAAGGATGGTTGAGCTGAAGTTCGGGACCTGTCAGGGACTGGCCAGGCTCTATGTCCCTGTCCTTCAGAACCAGGCTTCTCCCATTCCCAGCTGCAGCCCTCCTAGGAGGGGAGGAACACCTTGGAGACCCCCTGGGGAGGGATCCAAGAACCAGCGCCTTCTTCCATCCCCGTCCAAAACCCCAGCCCCAGCCTCCCCGTCCTCCCCCCTGATGCCCCGCCTTCTGCAGCTCCGCCTTCTGCAGCTCCAGTTGGGTGGCTGTCCCTCTCTGGCTTCAGCTTCCCCTCTGGGAAGTTGGGGGAGGTGGGAGGGGTCACCTTAAAGGGCCCCGCTGGCGGCAGCGTGCTGTAAAGCCTGCCTCCTGTCCTCAGCCTCCTGCTCTCAGCTCCCCTGAAGCCTCAATCCCTCCAGTCTTCTCCCCTTTCTCCATGTTTGGGCATTCCTGTTCCTTTCAGACAGCGCCCCGGTCACTCCTCCAGGTGGTGGCAGGGAGAAGCCAGAGAGCACCAAAAGGCCTGGCAGATGCTGAGCCTGACTCTGGCCTAAGAAGGTGGGTGCTGGGCCAGATGGAGGTGCCTGTGGATGTGACCCCATTGTCTGAGCCCCCCTCCTCAGGTCACAGCTCAAGGGAGGGGTTTGTGGGAACCATGAAAAGGAGGAGGGAAGGAGCACCAAGTCCTCAACTCACCCAGGAGGCTCCCCTCCCTCCCCCCAAGTCCAGGCAGAGGAAGGGATAAATATGGGGGCTAATTCCTTAAGTGCCATCCACCCCTGCTGGCCTGCCTGTTCCCCAAAGTGAGGCTTCCCTTTCCTTCTCCTGCCGTCTCCTCTGCCATCATCTGCTCAGGAACTTGAGTGCCTGGAGAACCCCTTCAGTGGCCCACACTCCTCTGACTGTCCAGCTCAGGAAGCTGAAGGCCTGGACACAGGAAGCACTTGAGGCTCTTTCTTCCCCTCCCTGATCTTCCACTGTTAACTCTCACTGAAACTCTCTCCTCTCGCTGCCCCTTTTCCTCCCCTGCCCACAGCCCAGGCTACCCTGGGTCTGCTCCTCCAGCAGCTGCCCTAATAGTAACCAAAGGACGCCCCCATCCAGGAGCAGGGGTGGGGGTGGGGGGCTCAGAGCAGCTGCTTCGACGAGGAAGCTGACACCAGGGCCAGCCGCTCAGCAACAACTTGTGGCTTTGCACCCAGTCCTGGGCCCCCACCCACCTGGCTGCCGCATGCCAGTTCCCTGCTGTCCCTTTTCCCCACTGCTCCCCAGACTTCCCTCTGACCCTGGCAGCACTGTCTCTCTTTCCCCAGCTCTGTTCTGTCCTTATTTCCCCTAGACCCGTCCCCATCAATCTGCCCCCTCCCCACTCCTTTGGCCCGGAGCCTCTGCTCTATCCAGTTTCCCAGCCCCCTTTCCTTGACACCCCTTCTTCCCTTACGCCTCTTCCCGTGGGGTATGCCCAGCACCTGAGCACGCAGCCTCTGATCCTCTCTCCCCTGGAGGAGATACTTCAGGGCCAGGGCGGGGTGTGGACTACACACCATCTGGGGTCTGCCATGTGAACCCCTTGAGTTAACACAGTGGGGGATGAGGCCCTCATTCCAGGACTTGGGGTGACTCCTGCCCCCATCCTGAAACATTGATCTTTCCCCCTCTGCCATCAGCACATTCTGTAGCCTCTTGGATTACCTGGCTGCCTGGGTATCCCATTTTCTTGGGGGGGGGATTCCCTGCCAGGGATGGAGGGGGCCCCGAAGGCCGAGTTAGAGCGATGGGGGGGGTAGTTTGGGGGAGAGACAGGCAGTCCTGGCTTTGCTCACCAGGGCTTGGACACTAAATCCCTTGTTGATGGCTGCAGCAACCCCTCCCGAGGGTAGGGTTACCGTCTTCTGCCCTGCCCCCTTGACCCTCTCCCCTCCCTACTTCCCCTTGTCCCTCTAGAGCCATTTCCTCTGGCCCCCAAAGGATGTTGTCCCCCTCTTCCGTCCCCTGAAGGTTGGAGTATCTGCTGCCCTTTCAGCAACCGGGTGAGGAAGGAGGCTGGCAATAGAAACAGGTTGAGAGTGGGTGGGGTGGGAGGGAGTAGGGGAAAGAGAAAGGTGGAGGCCAGGGAGTAGGAGGGTGAAGAACTGCAGGGGATGACTTTGGAACGGGAAATTCGGTACAACTGAGGGAGGGGTCAGCAAAACACAGACAGTGAAGTCTCTCCCTGCCCCCGCTTCCCTGGGGCTGGGGCCACCTTAGCTTCCCTTATGAGTGACATCTCAGGCTGCAGCCCCACTGTTCCCCCTCTGTCAGCAGAAATATCTTTCTTCTGACCCCTCCTGCCAGAGCCTCAGCCAGCCAATCCCTGATCTGGGGGGGGGGAGCCTGGCCCCCCCTACTCCCTCATAAGGACCAGCTGGGGGTTGGGGGGGGTGGCCGGCTGCTGCAAGTGGGACGGGGGTCAGAGTTTCGTGGAAGGAAGAAAAACGTGGGGGGGGGGCAGGAGAGAAAAGCAAGAACCCCAGACAAACAGGCAGGTGTACACTGAGGAAGGCCCCCGAAGCGTGAGAACCCCCCCAGAAGGAGCGCACCACCCCCTGGCCCCCAGGAAGGGAGCACAATGGAGGCTGCACACTCCAAGACCACAGAAGAATGTTTGGCCTATTTTGGGGTGAGCGAGACTGCAGGCCTTAGCCCGGACCAAGTGAAGCGGCATCTGGAGAAATATGGCCCCAATGGTAAGTGTCTCTTGGAGGAGAGGCCAGTAACGCCCTCTTGCTCCCCCACAACACAAACACGTACACACACTCACACACTTACACACACTGGAGTCTCTCCCTCCAGAGTACCTTGGGGACGAGCTGGGCCATGGTCCAGTGACTGCAGGGGGTAAGAGGATACTGACAAGACAAGGTCCCTGAGACTCAGAGTTTTGGGAGGTTTATGGGATGACCTTGGTGAACCTCAGATGCCCCTTCAGTGGCCTGATTCTCTTACCTTAGCCAGAATCCTGGGTGTGGGAGGCATTAGACTGAACCCCAAATGAATATGTCCTTTTCTTCTTTCTTCCCTGGGTAGAGCTCCCTGCTGAAGAAGGTAAGTTACTGGAATCCCTAAGCTCTCTTAATGACCCCCCCCCCTCCCCGCCAACCGTGCCCCACTCCCTTCTCCCCACCTTCTCCCTACTGACTCCTGAGGCAAATACCTTCCCCAGAGGTTAGAGTCTGGCTGGGGACAGGACTTTCCAAGCACTTTCTCCATGAGGCCTCCAGCCCTTGAGCAACTAACTGCCCACTACCACTTTGAGGAGCCTGTTTCTGGACTCCTAGTGAGCTCCCTCAGTCCCCTCTCAGTACCAAGAGGCCTGCTCATCACCCCAGAACCTTCCTGCTCAGGCTGGAAGTCAGGCCACTCTCAGGCCCTAGATCCCAGCCTGCACTTAAGAGTCCCAGCCATTCATCCGCCAGACCTTAACCCGTAGGGGCCCCCTCCCCTGCCTCTGCCCCCAGGGAAGTCCCTGTGGGAGTTGGTGGTAGAGCAGTTTGAAGACCTCCTGGTGCGGATCCTTCTCCTGGCCGCCTGCATTTCCTTCGTAAGTGTGGGCAGGCATCCGGGGGCCGGCTGGGGTGTGGGTCGGGGGTCTGGAGCATCTACGGGCGGGGGGCTCCGCCTCCTCAGCTCCTCTGGTCCAAGCCCTCAGCATCCTCTTCCAGACTGAGGGGGGGCGGGGGGCGCTGATGCGCGTACGCCTCGGTCCTCCTCCACACCCCACAGGCAGGTTTTATTTTAAGCTTTAAGGGTGTTCTCAGCCAAAACACTGAAGCTAAGCCACCCCCGCAGCTTCAAGGGCTTCGAGGGCTCGGGTTACCCCGCCAAGCGCCGGGCTCCCCGGCTCAGGCTCAGACTCGCCTGCGCTCCGGCCACCACCACTCCCGGCATGCCCCGGGGCGCGCAGCCGCTCCACCAATCCCCGAGCCTCCTGGCGCCCCCGCCCCGCCCTCTTGGCGCCGATTGGTCGCGGCAAAGACTTCCTCCCAGAGGCGGGAAAGAGCGGCTGGTGTGAGGGTGCCTCCGAGTGCGAGTGCGCCCGAAGGCCCAGCCAGACCCCTCACCTGTCCCCGGGCTCCGCTGCCGGCCGCCCATCAGGGCTGGAACTCCTGGGAACCCCTCCTCACCCGCCCGGCCTGACCTTGCCCGCCCTCCCCGGGGGGCCCCTCGCAGCTGCAGGGCCGCCACCTCTCTGGCCTGGGAGCTCCCCCCACCCCACCCCAGCACCCACCACCCCAGCAGCCTGCCTGCCTCCTGGAGTTTCTTCCTTAACATCTTAGTCCTGCCGGAAGACAAGACTGGGGGCAAAGAAGTCTCCCTGTCCCCGGGTCTCCTTCATGGAGGCCCTGTGGGCCCCTGAGTACTAGCTGGCAGGGCCTCCCTTCTCCCTTCTCCCTTCTCCCTTCTCCCTTCTCCCTTCTCAGATTTGCTCCTTGACATTTGCCTGTGGCTGTTGCCTGGCAGTGGCAACAGCTGGGGTGGGGTGTGTACAGGAGGCCCCGTAACACTATCCCCCCTCCTGCTCCCTCATGAAATTGGAGCTTCCCTGCCTTGGGCTGTTGGAGAGGGCTGGGCCCCCCCCCCCCCCCGGCGTCTCCAAGGACCACAGGGTTTTCCCTATGGAGTTTTGGCTCCCGTGGGATGGTTGTGGCTGCAGGACGTCGTTGGCCCGGGTGTCCTGTGAGCTTTGTTTGCAGTCCAACAACCTGGCCGGGGAAAACCCAAAGCACTCCCAGCTAAACCCCGAGTTGTGCATGTGTACACCTGCCGGTTCCCACTGCATGAGAGCGGCGGCAGCGCTTGTGTGAGTCTGCACTTTGGAGTGTGTAGGGCCTCAGACCGATGAGGGGCTGCCGTATCCCTGTGATGCCCAGCCCCGTTTGCTCCTGTGCACGTTTGTGCCCCAGTTGCCCTTCTTTATGTGTTGGAGGGGCTTTATTACCATTAGTCTTCCCCCCCTCCCCGCTCCCCAGGTGCTGGCCTGGTTTGAGGAAGGCGAAGAGACCATCACAGCCTTTGTGGAACCCTTTGTCATCCTCCTGATCCTCATTGCCAACGCCATCGTGGGGGTTTGGCAGGTTAGCTGTGACCCCTCCTCACTCCTTCACATCCTGACACTAAACACAGAGCCAGCCTCCCTTCCCAGTCTCCTCCTCCTCCGTCACTTCCTCTGGGAAGTGTTCTCCGTTCCCAATGCCCAGTTTGGAAAGGGGATGGAGTGCAGGAAAGAGACGGGAGACCGGCGTTCCCACTGTCACTAGCTGGCTCCATAACCCAGGCAAGTTCCTTCACCTCTCTCAGCCTTAGTGTCCTCACTCATAAAATAGGGCTAATAATCCTGCCCCGGAGTTGTGCTGAGTTGGAATAGGATGATGCTTGTGGAGTGCCCAGCCCTGTGCCTGGCATATAGTAGCAGGTCAATAAATGCTAGCTTGATTTTCCTTCTCTTCCCTTACTACCTTCTACTTTTCCTGTCCCTTGCTTGCTGATTTTCTCTGATTCTCTTTTCTTCTCTCCCCTGAACCTCCTTACCTCAACACACACACCTACCCTCATGCAGGGTTTGTCTACTCCCCGATGCCAGGCGCCAGGACTGCGTGACCTGCCTCTTCCTCTGTCATGTCCCTGTTTCCCCCAGGACTCTGGCCCCTGCCCCTCCTAATCCTGCCTGGCCAGTGCCCTCCCATTCCACAACCTTCCTCCCTCTGATGACCCTCGTCTCCTCCACCCTGTCCCTCCAGGAGCGTAATGCAGAGAACGCCATCGAGGCTCTGAAGGAGTATGAACCCGAGATGGGGAAAGTCTACCGGGCTGACCGCAAGTCAGTGCAAAGGATCAAGGCTCGGGACATTGTCCCCGGGGACATCGTGGAGGTGGCCGGTGAGTGATGGGAGTGAGTAGTCCAGGAAGGGAGGCCTTGACTTCGAGGCCGAGAGGATGCGTATGGTGAGGGCGGGCGGGGCAGGGGGGTGGGCCGATTCTGATGTCCGGGAGGTAGCCGGGACGGCGGAGTCTTCGCTTCTCCTTCTCAGACTCCTCAGGAGGTCATCCGAGGGCACTATGGCCATAGCACCCCTCCCTGTCAGAGTCTCAGCAGGAACAGCCAGTCCTGTCCCTGATGCTTCAGGCGGACCCCCTGCTCCCCCTCCTCTTCCCCTGCACTTGCAAGCAACAGGTGGAACCCAGTCCCTGCCAATGGTCCTGTCTCCACCCCCCTCCCGAGGCCTGGCTTCTCTCTCCTTCCACCCACCCCCAAGCTTGGTCAGCTTTAAATCTTGACCTCTCGGTGCCCTTGAGGCTTCTTGAAGGGGAAGGAGTGAGGGTAGAAGGGAGGAGGGGGGCCAAAGGCTCAAGCCCCCAACCATGTAAGGGAAACTCAGGCCCCAGCAGGGAGCACGGGACCTGGGAGGAGGGGAGCTCAAGGAAGGGCCCCGCCTCTCCGGTGAGGGACACTTAATGCCTGACCAGGGAGGGGTGGGGGCCGGGTGGCTAAGATTACTGGGATTCTGCCCCCTTCAGCGGTTTTTATATTTGCCCTGCACAGGCCTTCCCACATCTCTAGGCCCCTGGCAGAGGGGAAAGTATCTAGGCCTGCTTGCCTCCACTAGACTCCCCAGTTGCCACCATGCGAGGCCTAGGGAGAGGGAGGGAGGGCAGGCTGAAGACCCCGGGGCACCATCACAGGGCCGTCCTGCCCTGGTGACAGTTTGGAGTCACAGGGCCATGAGTGTCTATAAATATCGCTTGGGCTTGGGTGACAGGGTGTCCCGCCCAACTCCGTGGCCGACCTCCTCCCTCCTCCGTCAGCTTCCTCTGGCCTAGGAGGAGGAACCTCAGAAACAGGGAAAGGAAGCGGCCCAACGAACCCCGTCCCCAGTACCATCAGTGGGACTAGGCGGGATGAGGCAGAGGCCCTGGGAGGCGATTAGCCTCCTCAAAGGCCCTGAAGTCCAGGGGGGGCATCATCTGCCTTGTCAGCCTACCTGCAAGGTGGTTTCCTGGGGTGACCCCCTCCCGTGCAACTGCTGTGGCCTGCCCCCCCCCCCACTCTTGCTGGGCTCCCTCCTGCCCGCCATTCCGTCTCTCCTGCCCATCTCCCCGGCTCACTCACCTCACCCACCGGGGCTTCCTGCCTTCCCTCAGGTATGCAGACCAGGGCCTGGCAGGTTTCTGCTGGGCGCTCTCCACCAGGCCCTGTGGGACCGCTCCCATCCGCCCCTGAGGCTCCTCCCTCTCCTGTAGCTCCTGCTCTTCTCACCCTTCCTTTGGCTCCACCTTTTGTCCTGCTCGACACAGATTTTCTCAATTCTCGTATTTTCTCCTGGTTCTTCCTGGTCCCTCATGCCCCCCCTGTGATTCCACGACCTCCTGTCCCCTCTGAGGCGCATCTCTCAAATTCACCCTGTTTCTTTTCGTTTTTTTCTTGCCCTTCTCTCCCCACCTTTCTCGCTCTTGTGTCCCTCTCTGTTTTGCTGTCTCATTACACAACTGGATCATTCCTAATTTTCCCTTCAGCCACTCAGCATAGATGTTTATTGAGCACATGCTATGTGCCAGGCCATGCGCCGGGCCCTCTCACGGGCTCACAGCCCACGGAGGGGAGAAAAGAAACAAGGGAGCAGTTGGAATGAGTGTTGAGAGGGGGATGCTTGCTGGGGCTACAGGAGCCCACGCCAAGGGCCCGACTCAAGCCCAGGGTGGGCACCCAGCCCCGGCGACCTGAAGGACGAGGTGAGGTAGTCAGACAAAGATTGGGCTTTCCTTGGGAAGGAAGAAAGCTCCTTTCTCAACTGACTTCACTCTCATCTACTCTCTCCACACAGTGGGGGACAAAGTCCCCGCGGACATCCGCATCCTGACCATCAAATCTACCACACTCCGGGTTGACCAGTCCATCCTGACAGGTCCGGTGGGCCGGCTGGGAGGACGCTTCAAGGGGGCGTGGGGATGAGGTGGGGAGCTGAGTGGACACACAGGGATGAAACTGCAGGTGGGTGAAACAGAGCAGCCAG